ACAGGGTCTCACTCTGTTCCCCAGGCTAGAGTATAGTAATGCAATCTTGGCTCAATGAAACCTTCATCTCCTGGGCTCAGGTGATCCTCCCACCTCAGCCTCCCCAGTGGCTGGGACTACACGTGCGCACCACCACACCTGGTTAATTTTTGTATTTTTAGTAGAGATAAGGTTTCCCCATATTGCTCAGGATGGTCTCAAATTCCTGGGCTCAAGTAATCCACTTGCCTCAGCCTCCCAAAGTGTACTAATACTCTTAAAACAAGAATGCCAACTCTTTTTAGACTTAAGTAGTAGCTCAAGGACTACGTCTTTACAAATATTAAAATAATTTTTTTTTTTTTTGAGATGGAGCCTTGCTCTGTCTCCCAGGCTGGAGTACAGTGGCACAATCTTGGCTCACTGTAACCTTTGCCTCCCGGGTTCAAGCGATTCTCCTGCCTCAGTCTCCCAAGTAGCTGTGACTACAGGTGGATGCCACCACACCTGGCTAATTTTTGTACTTTTAGTAGGAATGGGGTTTTAACATATTGGTCAGGCTCAGGCTGGTCTTGAACTCCTGACCTCATGATTAGCCTGCCTTTGCCTCCCAAAGTGCTGGGATTACAAGCATGACCCACTGTGCCTGGCCACTGAGTTTTTTAAAAAGCAGTTATATAATGATTGTATCTAAAATAAAGTATGGTTACAACTAGCTTTAACCTGTATTCTTGCTATTTATACCAGTTATAAGGTCTTCATATGAAAATCCCATGAAACACGCACACAAAAGAACCAACTATATTATTAAAATAAAAAGTAGAATGAGATGGGTTTATGCAGAATTCTGTTTAAAAGGTAAAAGACAAAGAACTACCTACTGTCTGCAGTTGTGGAGGTGTGTGAATGCCTTTGTTTCCTAGAGTTCTGACAGAATGGCTTAAATTCCAGGCCTCCCTAGTCTCATATGTAATAGTAAAAGTAAGAGAGAGATTGTGGCAGTAGAATAGTAATGGTGAGAGCCAACAGTGCTGAGCAATTGCTGCATCCTGAGCCAAGCACTTCATGTGCATTATTCCATTCCTCCATTTCTCACAGCAACCCAAGGAGGAGATTCTGTTCCTATGCCATTTCGCAAATCATGAAATGAGGCACAGGAAAGTTAAATATCTGCCCACCCTGCTGGTAAGTGGTAGGGTTAGGATGCAAAGTGAGGTTATCTAGCTTTGGAGCCCACACTTTACTGCACTACACTGCCTCTCTTCAAATATTCCACTGCACCACTAATTCCTCAGCCTTAATACACATATCAAAATCATTCAATAGCATTTTCTTAGATGGAAAAAGTCTCTGTAAATGGTACCATGCTGGGAACTATAGTGGATATTATAGATCCCTCTTCAAGACCAAAAGAACCCATTCCCCCTGGCTGCTGGGAGAACCAGGGGGTAATGACTCTCAGCCAAGTCTTTCTCCTGGAGCTGCCCGTGGCCTGGCCCAGAGGAAAGCCTCAACCTCCACCTTGATTCCAACTCCAAAGCTTCCTGTGGGATTGGCCTTTGCTGCCTCTGCTCTGGCCATGTGGCAACTCAAGTCTTCTTAGGAATCCCACAGGAAGCTTTGGAGTTGGAATCAAGGTGGGGGTTGAGGCTTTCCCCCGGGACAGGCCACGGGCAGCTACCCAATACAACTGTCTTCACTGCTTCATAGGTGCTGTAGGGAGCAAATGCTTCTCCAAAAAACTGGCTGCATGCAAATCTGTCTCAGAGTCTGCTTCCCCTAAAACCAAACTAATAAACTGAGATGTAAAACTAGTGAACACTAAGTAACTGGAGAATACAGTCATCGTGACCACTGACTGAATAGTGAAGAGGTATTTCTGGCAGATTAAAGTTAATGCATTACTAAATATTACACAAATAATCCAAATTGAAACCAGTAAAAATGCCTTAAAAAAAAAAAAGAAGTTAGCTACAAAAGGACAAATACGGTATGATTCCACTTAAATGGGATATTTAGAACAGACAAATTCAGAGAGACAGAAAGTAGAACAGCGGTTATCAGGGGCTAAGGGAAGCACAGGAAGCATGGAAAGAGTATGGGAAATTACTGTTTAGTGGGTAACAAGTTTCAGTTTGGGACGATAACCTTCTGGAGATAGCTGCACAATCATGTAAATGTACTTAATGCCACTATACACTTAAAAATGATTAAAATGGTAAATTTTATGTTACACATATTTTAACATAATTTTTAAAAGCTAGCCCAAACGAGATTGCACCTGCTTCCTAGGTTCAAGTGATTCTCCTGCCTTAGCCTCCTGAGTAGCTGAGACTACAGGCAAGTGCCATCATGCCTAGCTAATTTTTTTTTTTTTTTTAAAGATGGGGTTTCACCATGTTGGCCAGGCTGATCTCGAACTCCTAACCTCAAGTGATCCACCATGCCCAGCCTATTTTTTGTATTTTTAGTAGAGACGAGGTTTCACCATGTTGGCCAGGATGGTCTCAATCTCCTGACCTTGTGATCCACCTGCCTTGGCCTCACAAAGTGCTAGGATTACAGGCATGAGCCACCGTACCTGGCCAGAATATATTTTAAAAAATAATACTCATGAGAAAATAACCAGTTTCTTGAACTTCAGAAGAGGAAGAAATGTGGCCCTCTCTCTCAATTTATTCCTTTCTGCTTTGACAATTAAAACATCAGACATTCACCAGGCGCAGTGGCTCAAGCCTGTAATCCCAGCACTTTGGGAGGCTGAGGCGGGTGGATCACGAGGTCAAGAGATGGAGACCATCCTGGTCAAAATGGTGAAACCCCATCTCTACTAAAAATACAAAATATTAGCTGGGCATGGTGGCGTGTGCCTGTAATCCCAGCTACTCAGGAGGCTGAGGCAGGAGAATTGCCTAAACCCAGGAGACGGAGGTTGCGGTGACCCAAGATCACGCCATTGCACTCCAGCCTGGGTAACAAGAGCAAAACTCTGTCTCAAAAAAAAAAACAAAAAACCAGAAAATCAGACATTCAAAAGCACCCAAAGACCAGTGCATAAAAACCTGTAGACCTTAATTCATCTGCATAAAAGATAACTGCTTATCAAACCCATTATAATACAAATATTTCCAAACAGCTGGCTTATTTTTCAAACAGCATTTGGCTTTAAAATTAGAATGTGATAGGCCACATGTGGTGGCTCGTGCCTGTAATCTGAGCACTTTAGGAGGCTGAGGTGGGCGGATCACCTGAGGTCAGGGGTTCCAGCCCAGCCTGACCAGCATGGAGAAACCCTGCGTCTACTAAAAATACAAAATTAGCTGGGCATGGTGGTGGAGGTTGTGGAGAGCCAAGATCATTGTACTCCAGCCTTGGCAAAAGGAGCAAAACTGTCTCAAAAAAAAAAAAAAAAAAAAAGAATGTGATATCCAAATTTACAGCAATATTTCTAAAGATCTCTTTTGATAAAAATGTCATTAGATTTTGGGACTTTAGAGACTGCAGAGAATACCTATGTCTCTTCGGTTTCCTGTTTGGAATTATACAAAATCATTTTTTGACTTAAAAAAAGAGATTAATAGACTTTACGTATGACACAATTAGTATTAAGCTAGGTAATTAAGGTAATTTTATTTTTTTAATCACAACATGGAAACCACTTAAATATTAGGTAAAATAGGTATGATATCTGGGGCAAGAAAAGGTTGAATATTATGAAAATATATACTAAATAGAGGAAAGAGTCAAAAGATCTAATGTTTCATCTTGAAGCCTACCACTTTGACTTTTGACTTTATAAGACTGGTTAAGGCCAGGCGTGATGGCTCAAGCCTATAATCCCAGCACTTTGGGAGGCTGAGGCGGGTGGATCACGATGTCAAGAGATCACCATCCTGGTCAAAATGGTGAAACCCTGTCTCTACTAAAAATACAAAAAATTAGCTGGGCATGGTGGTGCATGCCTGTAATCCCAGCTACTCAGGAGGCTGAGGTGGGAGAATTGCTTGAACCCAGGAGGTGGAGGTTGTGGTGAACCGAGATCACACCATTGCACTCCAGCCTGGGTAACAAGAGTGAAACTCTGTCTCAAAAAAAAAAAAAAAAAAAAACTGGTTAAAAGAGCAGTTTTAGGGAGAAAATAAATATCTATTACAATAAAACCTACTTAAGTCTACATTTGATAGTGAGAATCTGGCAAGTGAATCTGAATACCAAAGACATCGCATTAATCCAACATTTAGTTCCCAAGTTTAGGAAAGTGAGAGCTGGAAAAGTGAGAGAAATCTATACACAGTATGGTAACACCTCATTATTCCTTACCAAATACAATGGCAGATGGATATCACATAAAGGATCAAAGTAGCCATTTTTCTGACTCAAATGCTCCCTACTTTGTGAGACTTTATATGCCTGTAAGTGTTCATTGCTTAATTACGCATGAAAAATTGTCTATGGTTAAATAATGGAATCAGAAAACTGAGGTCCTGATTTGATAAACTAAAAAATTATGATAAAAACATTGTTTCAAAGAGTAACATTTTAAAAACTCAGATGTAATAATGATTTCTTTCTCTCATGCTCTTTGGTAGCAGCCTTACTGTTCTAGGCAAAATGTGCCACAATTCTGCAGGTGAGTACCCATGTCCTCCTGCTCTCGAGTGACCGGTGACTCATCAGTTCAGCTTAAACCACAGACACAACATCTCAGGCCATAGGGACTTTACATTAAAGGGTTGAAAATCCATTAAATCCATATAAAGCCACAAAGGTTTGACATTTTATAGACTAGGGGAAAAATAACACAAAAAATGTTTAAAGGGAACTATAGCCTAGAAATCAGAAGTAACCCACGGTATAGAAATTATGACCTAATATCACCAAAAAGTAAGGCTAATAAGGTGACATGACAATGTAAGCTCTGTCTTATTACTTGTTAAAATACATCATAGCTATTAGAATCCACAGTCTATGTTAAAAAATATGTTAAAAAACATACTGTTTCTATTGCTCTTCTCTATGAGGTTAACATGGAAACAAGGAAAAGTAAACAAACACAGCCACAGATGCACACGGTTGCCAAGGACTGTGAGCAGAGGAAATAGATGAATACTGTACACTGTGTAAAAGGAACAACAGATATAAGGTGAGTAGCTCACCTCTTCTGTCCTTTGAGTCAGAATTACCTGTGTAATAAGTAAAAAAAAATAGAAACATTCATTCAGGTTAAAGAAATACATTACAGTTCAATTTAGAGTACAACAAAACAAGGATTAGGAATGTTTTCCTCCATGAAGCATCCTCCAACTGGGAAACGAGACTGCCCAGATTCACTAAACTTTGGACAGTGGCCTGTCCTTCTCCCTCGGTACACAAATAGTGTAGCATCAATATTCATAAAAAGTAAAAGAATGCAAAGAGAACACATTATTAGAGGACTTTGTGTCTTTTGCTCCATTAAAATTCAAGAGGATAAAGTTAAGTAAGGATATAAAAGACCAAAATGATAAGTAATAAAATCTAATCAGTAGATACCAAACTCTACACACTAACACAGAAAACCTTTTCAAAGGCTAGTGAAATATCCACATCCTTTCTAAATCCCAACAGTAGAACCACTACAATATTCTTTGTCCCAATGCAATAAAATTAGAAATTAACAAAGTAAGAAAACACTTTAAAATTCAAATCAAAACCAAAATGAGGCCTTGTGTGGCAGATCACCTGAGGTCAGGAGTTCTAGACTAGTGTGGCCAACGTGGTGAAACCCCATCTCTACTAAAAATACAAAAAATTAGCTGGACTTGGTGATGGGTGCTTATAATCCCAGCTACTCCGGAGGCTGAGGCATAAGAATTACTTAAACCCAGGAGGGGAAGGTTGCAGTGAGCAGAGATCATGCCATTGCACTCTAGCCTCGGTAACCGAGCGAGACACTATTTCTTACTTTTTTTTTTTTGAGATGGGAGTTTTGCTCTTGTTAGCTAGGCTGGAATGCAATGGCATGATCTCAGCTCATAGCACCTCTGCCTCCCAGGTTTAAACAAGTCTCCTGCCTCAGCCTCCCAAGTAGCTGGGATTACAGGCATGTGCCACCATGCCTGACTAATTTTGCATTTTTAGTAGAGACAGGGTTTCTCCATGTTGGTCAGGCTGGTCTCAAACTCCTGACCTCAGGTTATCCGCCCATCTCAGCCTCCCAAAATGCTGGGATTATAGACGTGATCTACTGCATCTGGCTGCGAGACACTATTTCAAAAAAAAATCAAAACCAAAATGGGCCAGACACAGTGGCTCACATCTTTAATCCCAGCACTTTGGGAGAGAATCCAAATCCCAGCACTGCGGCATGAGAATCGCTTGAACCTGGGAGGGAGAGGTTGCAGTAACCTGAGATCCCACTGTACTCTGGCCTGGGTGACAGAGTGAGACTCTATGTCAGAAAACAAACAGGCAAACAAACCAAAAACCCAAAATGGAAAAATACCTTAAAAATAACAATGATGATAAGTTTTGTGGCAGAACCTGCCAACGGAGATCTCCTCCTCTCAAATCAGTCTCTTCCTCTTCTTGCCTTTATATAGAACCTTTGTTTTTCAGCTGAGCACCAAGCTCTCCTGCCAGAGACTACATGTGGCACTCTTTTGTGCTAGGTATAGTCATGTGATGAATTCTAGCCAATGGGATGTGAGCTAAAGCAATGTGAGTAACTTCCAGGTCACATCTTTTGGGAAAAAAAGGCCCCATTCCCTTTGTTCTTCATTCGCAGTGGTTGGAACTAGAACCCAATGGTGGGAACTATCTACAACCAAACAGATAAGAACAGTATTAGGATGGCAGGGCCACAAGAGGAAAGGAATTTGTACCCTACTGAAACAAAGGCCCTGCCTAACTCTGGAATGTGACTGGGGAAACACACTTTTGTCTTATTTAAGTCGCTGAATTTTGGTATCTTTGTCAGAGCAGCTCATAGTGCATAACAATACAACTACCTATAGAAACACCTATGGGATGTGGCTAAAGCTGTGCTTGTGCAAAATTTATCACACTAAATGTATTAATTAACTAGAAAGAACAAAAATAAATAAAGCACTCAATTCAAGAAGATAGAAAAAGCATAAAATAAATCTAAGGAAGGTAGAGAATAAAAATCAATGAAATAGAAAACTTAAAAATGAAATAACTAATAAATGCACAATAGCAAGTTCTTTGGAAGAAAAAAGTCAACAAACCCATGAAATAAATGATTAGTGAACCTAAACAAAAATACAAGACATAAAATAAAATTTAAAAATTAATAGCTCTGTAGGATATCACAATAAATAATCACAAAAGAGAACTTTTCCTCATTCAATACATTTGAAAACATGAATGAAATGACCAGATATGGTGGCTCACACCTGTAATCCTAGCACTCTGGGAGGCCAAGACAGGAGGATCGCTTGATCCCAGGAGTTTGAGACCAGCCTGGGCAACATGGCGAAACCCCATTTGTTTTGCTACATGAAAGGATTTGAAAGTTTACACTGAAAACTATGCATTTATTTATTTATTTATATTTTCTTGAACATTTATTCAGGCTTAGAAAGGTTTCCATTCCTTTGACACAATTATTAGATACTATTTAAAAAAATCCAAAATTATTGGATTCTGTATAAAAAAATATATATATATTAGCTGGGCATGGTGGGACATGTCTATACTCCCAACTTCTTGGGAAGTTGAGGTGAGAGGAACACCTGGGCCCAGGAGGTGGAGGTCACAATGAGCCGAGATTGCGCCACTGCACTCCAGCCTGGGCAACAGTGAGACCCTGTCTTAAAAAATAAATAAATAATGAAGTGCATTTTTTACAGTAAAATCCATGACATATACCTGTTAAGTTATATAAATTTAATAACTACATAAGAATGAACAAATGAGTGAAGAATTGGTTGGTGGTTAACAGTGAGCAGGGACATTGAGTCCAAATAAAAAGTGTATATAGATTTAGGGTATCCAATAATTTTGTCAAAGGAATGGAAACCTTTCTAAGCCTGAATAAATGTTCAAGAAAATATATTAAAATAAATAAATGCATAGTTTTCAGTGTAAACTTTCAAATCCTTTCATGGAGCAAAACAAAACACTAAAAACTAAAACTTACCTAAAAGAATACACAATACACACACGAAGGAAAAACACAGACCAATCTCATTTAGAGATATTTTGTGAATAGACAGAGAAAATTCTAAATGAAAAAAGAAAAGAAAAGAAAAGAAATAATATCAAACAGACTGCAACAGATTACAAGAATGATACAATATGGTTGGGTGGCCTCGGCTCATGCCTGTAATACCAGTGCTTTTGGAGGCTGAGGCTGAGGATTGCTTGAGGTCAGGAGTTCATGACCAGTTTGCGTAACACAGTGAGTCCCTGTCTCTGAACAAATTAAAAAATTAGCTGGGCATGATTACATGTGCCTATAGTCCTTAGCTACTTGGAAGTTTGAGGTGGGGTTTGCTTAAATCTAGGAGTTTGAGGTTATAGTGAGCCATGATCATGTCATTGCACTCCAGCCTAGATGACTCAAAGGAAAAGACTTAAAGCAAAGCAAAGGTCAACAGGAAAGAAAAATTAAGAAGATGAAATAATTCAGAGCAAGATGCTGTCTCTAAAAAAGAAAGAAATAAAAACTATTAATAGAATCCACCATAGAAACAGACCAAGTGGAAAAAATCATACAGATCTTGCTCATTGATCCTGAACAGGCAATTGGCAAAATTTAACACCCATTCCTGACATAAATGCTCCTTAAAACAAAAATAAATTGTTATATCCTGAACACAATAAAATATGTTTATCTCAACTAAAGAGTCAGCACCATGTATAATGAAAAACCACTGAAAGTGTCTTCCTTAGCATCAGATAAAAGACAATGGTGTCTGCATTTATCAGTGGTCTAACTTTGCTCTAGAGGTATTCATCAATGCGATTAAACAGAAGAAAAAGAAAGTTCTAAAAATTTGGAAGGTAACGGCAGATGAGATGATTTGAAGCCACAATAATTGATGAAGAAAATTACTTCAAACACGAAGAAAGTTTAAGGTGGCCAGTACAAAATGTCTCTACAAAAACAGCAGCCTTCATATCCTTGACAGCAACCAGTTCAAAGATGTGACGGAAGAAATACTCCATTTATAATAACAAAAACAGAAGATTAAAAGAAAAAAAGACTTCAGAAAATAGAATATATTGCATTATTGGATAGTTAGAATCAACATCTTTAAGATGCTATTTTCTGTTAATCTACATATTTAATATGATCAATACAAACTTTTACCTGCTAGACAAGTTGATTCTAATGTTCATGATAAAAATTGTTAGCAAAATTCTGAAAAATAAAATTAAAAAGGAATGACTCATTTTACCAGACATTAAATACTTTACAAACCCTGTCTCTACCAAAAACACAAAAGTAGCTGGGTGTGAGGCCAGGCACGGTGGCTCACATCTGTAATCCAAGCACTTTGGAGGCCAAGGTGGGTGATTACCTTAGGTTGGGAGTTCAAGACCAGCCTGACCAACATGGTGAAATCCTGTCTTTAAAAAAAACAAAAGGTAGCTGGGGGTGGTGGTGCACGCCTGTAATCCCAGCTACTTGGGAGGCCAAGGCAGAAGAATTGCTTGAACCCGGGAGGCGGAGGTTGCAGGGAGCCAAGATCGCACCACTGCACTCTGGCCTGGGCAACAAGAGCAAAACTCTGTCTCAGAAAAAAAAAAAAAAAAAAGACAGTGGGGCTTTCCACATGGACAAAGAAAAAGATTAATAGAAAATAAAACGAATGTTCCCAAATACTCAAATACATATGAAGAGTTAAATAAATATCTGAATTCAATATACAGGATAGGTGGTATTTCAAACCAATGAGGAATAATAAATTATTCATTAAGGGTTATTTGGACAAGATAGCTACTTGGGGAAAAACAGATCCATAGCTCACACTCTACATCAGAATAAATTCCAGATAGACCCAAGCGCGTGCACACACACACACACACACAAAACCACGGAAGTCCAGAAGAAAACTATTTTTTAATCTTGGAGTAAGGAAAGCCTTCCTAAATATGACCCAATTCCTAGAAAAGTTACAATAAACTGAGAAATATTTAAATTAAAAAAATTAAAAATAGCTAATGGTATCTT